AATTAAAAGTGATCGGAAATTGTTAATTTGGCCAATTTAACACAAAGTTCAAAATATTCCAATTTCAAAATAGGGTCCAGAATAAACAATGTAGGTATTCCTGGAACTAAACTAACATTTCCTCTGTTCATTAGTTATGTTTTGAGGCTTTACAAATAAATTCCATTTTGATTTTTTATTCACATAATGAATTTTTATTCACACCAAAAAATAGAAGATTTACTGTTATGCAATACTGTAATAATTGTATAAATATCATCACCATATTTGTGAATGCATATTAGACCCACCAGCTGGCGTGTATTAGACGTGTGAGGTCGTTTGTTTACTCTTGAATATCGGCAAAAATTTAACATTTCTGCTGCTTTGAGCTCGGTTTCAAGCCATTTCCATTGCTAAAAACAATCAAAATCATCTCTATTTCTGTAATATGTCTTCCATTCTATCAAATGAGACCAAGAAATCGCAAATAGAACTATAAAAAAACATACGAAAAAACACTGCAAAGTCGCTGTTTTAATCGAAAAATCATGATTTCAGCTTTTTTTCTCTCATTATACACAGCGTGCTGCAGGATCTGTTTTATGTGGTGCACACATACCACATAGATGTATCCTCTCATATCTAGGCCCAAATGTACCACTCACAGTTTATCAGAGTGAGCTGAGCTCATGACGTAGATCTACGGTTTGGACCCTGAACGTAAAGCCGTAGATCTACGGGACGGACCCTCAAAGGGTTAAAAGAAGTTACTGTATTGTTTTAAAGTTCTTTGAGTTGGTGATTTTATTAGCATGGCTAGTATTGCTCCAACTCATGCTGGGCTTCCTTCTCTAAATAATCTTGCATACATACAAAGGTGTATCACTGACAGTAATAAAGAAAAGATGCTTTCATCTTATTCTGTAGTACCATCTGATAGGTCCATTTGGTTCCAAAATGCCATCTGATACAGTTCCATTTTGTTAATTAGTTCCATCTGATACAGCTAGATGTCATTCTTCAGTGTTTGGTGTGAGTGCACTAGTTCAATTTGGTAGTGGCAGTTATTATTATGACTAGTGTCCAGCAGCCAGTGTAACAGGGAAGGCCCCAGCCACCATGCTAACTCAAGGGCATCCACCAATATTGTCTGATGGGGCAATCAAGCACACGTGCATCCTCTTATCTGTTGCTATATGAGGAAGATTACTTAATATATCCACACTGAACTATGTGCCAATAATGCTTCTGAACATGTTGAACTATGTCCTAACAATGCTTCTGAACACACTGAACTATGTGCCAATAATCCTTCTGAACTGTGAACTAGCCAACAATGTTCTGACCACTGAAATTGCCATATGCTTCTGAACACACTGAACTATGTGCCAATAATGCTTCTGAACACACTGAACTATGTGCCAATAATGCTTCTGAGCAGGGTGAACTATGTTCCAATAATGCTTCTGAACACACTGAACTATGTTCCAATAATGCTTCTGAACACACTGAACTATGTGCCAATAATGCTTCTGAACACACTGAACTATGTGCCAATAATGCTTCTGAACACACTGAACTATGTGCCAATAATGCTTCTGAACACACTGAACTATGTGCCAATAATGCTTCTGAACACACTGAACTATGTGCCAATAATGCTTCTGAGCAGGGTGAACTATGTTCCAATAATGCTTCTGAACACACTGAACTATGTGCCAATAATGCTTCTGAACACACTGAACTATGTGCCAATAATGCTTCTGAACACACTGAACTATGTGCCAATAATGCTTCTGAACACACTGAACTATGTGCCAATGATGCTTCTGAACATGCTGAACTATGTGCCAATAATGCTTCTGAACACACTGAACTATGTGCCAATGATGCTTCTGAACACACTGAACTATGTGCCAATAATGCTTCTGAACACACTGAACTATGTGCCAATGAATGCTTCTGAACATGCTGAACTATGTGCCAATGAATGCTTCTGAACACACTGAACTATGTGCCAAAATGTTGAAATTGAACATGTGCAATATCTTCTGAACACACTGAACTATGTGCCAATAATGCTTCTGAACATGCTGAACTATGTGCCAATAATGCTTCTGAACACACTGAACTATGTGCCAATAATGCTTCTGAACACACTGAACTATGTGCCAATAATGCTTCTGAACATGTTGAACTATGTGCCAATAATGCTTCTGAACACACTGAACTATGTGCCAATAATGCTTCTGAACACACTGAACTATGTGCCAATAATGCTTCTGAACACACTGAACTATGTGCCAATAATGCTTCTGAACACACTGAACTATGTGCCAATAATGCTTCTGAACATGCTGAACTATGTGCCAATAATGCTTCTGAACACACTGAACTATGTGCCAATAATGCTTCTGAACACAATGAACTATGTGCCAATAATACTTCTGAACATGTTGAACTATGTGCCAACAATGCTTCTGAACACAATGAACTATGTGCCAATAATGCTTCTGAACACAATGAACTATGTGCCAATAATGCTTCTGAACACAATGAACTATGTGCACAATAAACTTCTGACACATGGAATATGTCCAACAATGCATTCTGAACACAATGAACTATGTGCCACAATTGCTTCTGAACACAATGAACTGTTGTAATGTTGCCAATGAACATGCCATTTCAGAACACTGAACTATGTGCCAATATGGCTTCTGAACACACTGAACTATGTGCCAATGATCTTTTGAATACACTGAACTATGTTCCAATATGCTTCTGAACACCAATGAACTATGTGCCAATAGTGCTTCTGAACATCTGAACTATGTGCCAATATGCTTCTAAACACTGAACTATGTGCCAATAATGCTTCTGAACATGCTGAACATCCACATGCTACTGAACACACTAATACTATGTGCAATTGTTTTTAACAATTGAACTATGGGCCAATTATAATTTTAACACATGATATTGATTAAATTTTTAAAACATAATATTATATAATGCTTCTATACATATTATACTATTGCAATATTATTTGAAACACACTTATGTGCCAATATTATTGAACACATATGAACTATTGCCTATATGCTTCTGAACACAATGAACATGTACAATAATGCTAGAACACAATGCTACTGTGCAATAAATATTCTTAACATGCTGAACTATGCAATGTGCTTTTTGACAAATGAACTAAAGTTTTCAACATGCTTGAAAATCCTGAATTATGTCCAATAAGACTGACACCACTGACTGTGTAATAACACTTAGTGTCACTTGTTTTTAATGGTTCTAATCACTAAAATATTGCCATGGTGTTTTAATACATGACTATGTGACTGGTGCTTCTAATAACTGAATATTGACTGTGCTTCAAAACACTGAATATACGTGATACTTCTGAACACTCGAATGAAATCCAGCTCTCAACACATAATAACATTTTTGTTATGGTTTTTTCAATTCCAGTATGGGCTATTATAATTTTATTATTATTATTATTATTATTATTATTATTATTATTATTATACACGATTATTGCTATATTATTATTATTATTATTACTGGTGTTATTTCCTAGTATTTTATTATAATAACGAGTTACTGTTAAGCTAAAACCTATTCCTACCTTATTTAATAAAGTTTTCTTAGGTGGTTGTACATGCTACTTTTTCTTTCTACAATACTTCAAGGTTTAAAACATGCTGTGAAAGATCCCATTTATCGTCACTCAAACTACACCTTCCTCTTTATAGAAAGTGTTTTGTTTATTGAATATTATTACATAATGCCATTGTTTTGGTAATATCCTAGGTGGTATCTGCTGATATCATATTACTGATTATATATAATTACTGGCAAACTGATGAATAAGATAAATTTGGAACACTCGGGTGATGAACTTGTCTCATTAAAATCATTTCTACTTCTTCCAGTGTTGTTTTTACTTGTATGTGACTAAAGATGCCTGTTGTGCAGGTGAAATATTTCATTTTATCATAGAAATAAAGATATTAAAGTGTTGGAAATGTCTTATTCATCATCCTATATCTACCAGTAGAAGTTTGAGGAGTTGTGGATCATGTATGGTGACACAGTATTCTCTAATTTTGCTTTTAATACCCATCCTTTTCTCTGGGTTTATGATCCTCTTCTTTATCTCTCACTCCATTAAGTGATCGTAATAGTGTGAAGACTGGGAAAGTAGCCTTCAAGTACAGTGGTACCTCGAGTTTCGAACAGCTCCCAACTCGAACAATTATGTAAGTGTATTTTTGGGGGTCTGAAATGGACTAATTTAATTTACATTATTCCTTATGGGAACAAATTCATTTGGTATTGGCACTCAAACAGCCTTCTGGAACGAATTAAGTTCATAACTCAAGGTACCACTGTACTTTTCATGTACATACAGTATTCAATAATGGTATATAAATACTGTACAAAGCTTTCTTTCTTCTTTCAACAAGTCGGCTGTCTCCCACCGAGGCAGGGTGACCCAAAAAAGAAAGAAAATCCCCAAAAAGAAAATACTTTCATCATCATTCAACACTTTCACCACACTCACACATTATCACTGTTTTTGCAGAGGTGCTCAGAATACAACAGTTTAGAAGCATATACATATATATAAAGATACACAACATACCCCTCCAAACTGCCAGTATCTGTACAAATATGCACACATAATAAACATCTACAATTATCTTTACTCGTATAAAAAATAATCTGTATTACTATTATTATTATTATTATTATTATTATTATTATTATTATTATTATTGTATTCCTTTCAATAACTCTTAGCTCTAAATAAGGTTTACTGAATTACTGTATAACTTTCACAAAAAATACTACTACAGTATGTACCTTGTGTTGATGACCTAATGTATATATTGCATTCTTGTAAATAAATACTCTATCTGAATCTGGATACTAAAGCAACACTAAAGGAGTCAGCAATCCTGAAGTCATGCACAGCACAAGGCAAGTGTACTTACTGGTACTGAGGGCCAAATTTAACACACTCAGAATGCGAGAGAGAATGGAAAGCAAAGGGCACGTGTTGCCAGGACTTCTCTGGTACGGGGTCCTGACTGATGGTTTCTCCATACACAAACGACACACCCATCTGCTGCTTATATTGCCACCAACTGCAAAACAGCTCCCATGTCTCTTGACACCATTGGCTGAACAGGGGCAGAAGGAACCACTATCGTTATTCTCAGAGTACGTATACGTAAATGCTGTTGAAGTGTGATCTTTGACACATTAAGTAAAAATATTAAAAAGCTCACCTAGTGACACTGCAGAGATTCTGAAGACTACTTTCATCTAAGGGATGGTTAGCACTCTGAAAGTTGGTCAATTGGTGTGTAATTTTTATTATAGAGGAACAAACAAGTGCCTACCCTCTGTTCAGAATTATGGGAGTAGTATAAGGTGTAAGACAGTTAGAAAGCAAGAGACAGTGAAGAATGACAATGGAGGGAGGGGAAGAATAAAAAATAGAGTTTAGGGAATAAAAAGGGGGAGGGGATGGAAGAGGGGAAAAAAGGGGGAGGGGATGGAGGAAGAGGGAAAAAAAGGGGATAGAGAGGAGGGAGGGAGGGGTGAAGGAAGAGATGGGAAGAGGGAGAGGGAGAAAAAAGAACACTTGTCCATAAGAGTTGCGCTGCCTGGGAATTGAGCCTTAGTCCTATCAGTTGTGAGCATGAGTGCTCTACCACTGGATTGCATGCAGGTTCTTGTTTATATCTATATTGAATGGCACCTGCCTGTCAGCTGGTCCTTTATGAAGAGCATGTATAGTATATCATTTCAAATAGGAGTAATGCCCTCTTTACCATTCACTTTCCAACTAAAAATTAGTGCAATATCAAGTGCAAATATGATGTGGTTTGGGATGTTTTCATCCTTCGTTGATGAATATGATTAACATTGATGGCCCCAGAATAGACACTTATGACACCCCACCATAAACATTAATCCAGGAAGATTCTACACCATTTTTGGCAACTCTCTTTCCAGTGATTCTATCATTATTTTACCTACTGTGTGTGTGTGTGTGTGTGTGGTGTGTGTGTGTGTTTTGTTACCCTTGGTACAAACCCTCTCCTCAGCCTCCTTGCATTTTGTTGCTACATATTCCATCATCTCAAACGGGGTTTCCCGCCAGTCTCTGTCCCACTGAACCCTGTTCAGGTAGTTCCTCATTCCTGTGTAGCCCCCCTTTCTTGTAGTTTGGCTTCATTCGTCCTGGCCTTCCTGCTTCTCCCTCCAATTGTAGCTCTACTGTGTATTCGAAGCTTAAAACCACATGGTCACTGGCCCCAAGGGGTCTTTCGTATGTTGATGTCCTCGATATCTGCACTACTCAAGTGAATACTAAGTCCAGCCTTGCTGGTTCATCCCTCCTCTCTCTCTTGTAGTGTCCGTTACTTTGTTGGCACATGAAGTTTTCCAGTACCACCTGTGTGTGTGTGTGTGTGTGTGTGTGTGTGTGTGTGTGGTGGTGTGTGTGTGTGTGTGTGTGTGTTGTGTGTGTTGGGGTGTGTTGGTGTGTGTGTTTGTGTGTGTTTGGGTGTGTGTGTGTGCGTGTGTGCGTGTGTGTTGTGTGTGTGTGTGCATGTGTGTGTGTGTGTGTGTGTGTGCATGTGTGTGTGTGTGTGTGTATTGTGTGTGTGTGTGGTGTGTGTGTGTGCGTGTGTGTATGTGTGTGTATGTGTGTGTTGTGTGTGTATGTGTTATGTGTGTGATGTTGTGGTGTGTGTGTGTGTGTGTGTGTTGTGTGTGTGTTTTGTGTGTGTGGTGTGTGTGTGTGTGTTGTGTGTTTTGTGTGTACTTCACCTAATTGTACTCACCTAATTGTGGTTGCAGGGTCGAGACTCAGCTCCGGGCCCCCCGCCTCTTCACTGATCGCTACTCGATCCCCCTTCTCTCTGTTTTCCTGAGCTTTGTCATACCTCTTCTTAAAACTATGTATGTTCCTCCTCCACTACTTCACTTGCTAGGCTATTCCACTTGCTGACAACTCTATGAATGAAGAAATACTTCCTAACGTCCCTGTGACTCGTCTGAGTCTTCAGCTTCCAGTTGTGACCCCTTGTCCCTCTGTCCCCTCTCTGGAACATCCTATCTCTGTCCCCCTTTGTCTATTCCCCGCAGTATCTTGTATGTCGTTATCATGTCTCCCCTGACCCTTCTGTCCTCCAGTGTCGCCCAGTCCGATTTCCCTTAACCTTTTCCTCGTACGAAAATTCCCTTGAGCTCTGGGACTACCCCCCCCTTTTTTGCAAAACCTTTGTACTTTCTCTAACTTCTTGACGTGCTTGACCAGGTGTGGGTTCCAGACTGGTGCTGCATACTCCAGTATGGGCCTAACATACACAGGTACAGTGTCTTGAACGATTCCTTATTAAGGTATCGGAACGCTATTCTCAGGTTTGCCAGGCGCCCGTATGCTGCAGCCGTTATTTGGGTTGATGTGTGCCTCCGGTGATGTGCTCGGTGTTATGGTCACCCCAAGGTCTTTCTCCCTGAGTGAGGTCTGTAGTCTTTGTCCACCTAGCCATACTCTGTCTGCGGTCTTCTTTGCCCCTCCCCAATCTTCATGACTTGAAATTTGGCTGGATTGAATTCGAGAAGCCAGTTACTGGACCACATGTCCAGCCTCTCCAGGTCCCCTTTGCAGTCCTCCCTTTTCATCCTCGTCCGATTTAATTCTTCTCATCAACTTCACGTCATCTGCGAACAGGGACACTTCAGAGTCTATTCCTTCCATCATGTCGTTCACATATATCAAAAATAGCACTGGTCCTAGAACTGACCCTGTGGGACCCCGCTCGTAACAGGCGCCCACTGTGATACCTCTTCACGTACCATGACTCGTTGCTGCCTCCCTGTCAGGTATCCCTTACCATTGCAGTGCCCTTCCTTTTACGTGTGCCTGATCCTCCAGCTTCTGCACTAATCTCTTGTGGGGAACTGTGTCAAAGGCCTTCCTGCAGTCTAGGAAAACGCAATCTACCCAACCCTCCTCTCATGTCTTACTTCTGTTCCCTTTGGTCATAAAACCCAGGAGGTTTGTGATACAAGATTTGCCTTCCATGAACCCATGCTGGTTTTTCATTTATAATCTTGTTCCTTTCCAGGTGTTCGACCACCCCTTCCTCCTGATAATCTTCTCCATGACTTTGCACAAATACATGTCAGAGACACAGGTCTGTAGTTTAGTCCTCGTTTCTGTTTCCTTTCTTAATATGGGGACTACATTAGCTGTCTTCCTTTTCTGAGGTAGTTCCCCCAGTTTAAAGGGATGTGTTGAAGATTGGGGTTTTAAGGCACCCACAGCATCTCTGCTCCTTCTCTAAGGACCCATGGGGAGATGTTGTCCGGTCCCATCGCCTTTGAGGTGTAAAGGGTTTCACTTAAGAGCTTCTTCACCTCCTCCTCAGTTGTTTCGTATGTCATCCAACACTTGTTGGGTTTATATTCCCTCTTGATGTTCCCTTCTGTTCTGTCTTCCCACAGCCCTTCCTGTCTCTACTGTAAAAATTTCCCTTTAAAATTTCCCTGTTCGCTCCTCACATACCTCCTGATCATTTCTTGTGAGTTCTCCACCTTCTGTCCTTAATCTGATCACCTGGTCTTTGACTGTTGTCTTCCTCCTGATGTGGCTATACAACAGTTTCGGGTCAGCTTGATTCTCGATGCTATGTCATTTTCATACTGTCGCTGGGCCTCCCTCCTTACCTGTGCGTCCCTCATTCCTGGCTCTGCGACTGATCCCCCTTTTTTCGTGTGTTCTCTGCCTTCTGTACTTTTTCCATTCCTATTGCACTTTGTTTTTTGCCTCCTTACACCGTCGGGTGAACCGGGGGCTTTGTTCTGGTCTTCCCCTTGTTACTGTTGCTCTTGGGAATGAACCTTTCCACTGCCTCCTTGCATTTTGTGCTACATATTCCATCACTTCATTTACTGGCTTTCCTGCCAGTTCTCTGTCCCACTGGACCTCCCGCAGGAAGTTCTTCAACCCTATGTATCCCCTCTTTTATAGTCAGGCTTTTCCCATTCTACTCCTGTTATTCCCTCCACTTGCAGCTCTACTATGTATTCAAAGGGCACAGAAACCACGTTTTGTGTGTGTGTGTGTGTACTCACCTAGTTCTCACCTAGTGGGGTTTTGCAGGGGTCGAGTCCAAGCTCCTGGCCCCGCCTCTTCACTGGTCATACTGGGTCACTCTCCCTGAACCATGAGCTTTATCGTACCTCTGCTTAAAGCTATGTATGGATCCTGCCTCCACTACATCGCTTCCCAAACTATTCCACTTCCTGACTACTCTGTGGCTGAAGAAATATTCCTAACATCCCTTTGATTCAACTGTGTCTTCAGCTTTCCCAAATGTGTCCCCGTGTTGCTGTGTCCAGTCTCTGGAACTCCTGTCTTTGTCCACCTTGTCAATTCATCTCAGTATTTTGTAAGTCGTTATCATGTCCCCCCTATCTCTCCTGTCCTCCAGTGTCGTCAGATTGATTTCCCTTAACCTCTCCTCATAGGACATACCTCTTAACTCTGGGACTAGTCTTGTTGCAAACCTTTGCACTTTCTCTAGTTTCTTTACATGCTTGGCTAGGTGTGGGTTCCAAACTGGTGCCGCATACTCCAATACGGGCCTAACGTACACGGTGTACAGGGTCCTGAACGACTCCTTATTAAGATGTCGGAATGCTGTTCTGAGGTTTGCAAGGCGCCCATATGCTGCAGCAGTTATTTGGTTAATGTGCGCTTCAGATGTGCCTGGTGTTATACTCGCCCCAAGATCTTTTTCCTTGAGTGAGGTTTGTAGTCTCTGGCCCCCTAGACTGTACTCCGTCTGCGGTCTTCTTTGCCCTTCCCCAATCTTCATGACTTTGCACTTGGTGGGATTGAACTCCAGGAGCCAATTGCTGGACCAGGTCTGCAGCCTGTCCAGATCCCTTTGTAGTTCTGCCTGGTCTTCGATCGAATGAATTCTTCTCATCAACTTCACGTCATCTGCAAACAGTGACACCTCAGAGTTTATTCCTTCTGTCATGTCGTTCACAAATACCAGAAACAGCACTGGTCCTAGGACTGACCCCTGTGGGACCCCGCTGGTCACAGGTGCCCACTGACATCTCGCCACGTACCATTACTCACTGCTGTCTTCCTGACAAATATTCCCTGATCCATTGT